AAGAGGCTTGAAGCAGAGCAGTGTTTGGAGTAAGATTCCCTCTTTCTGCAGCCAGTATTGTCAATCCCCAAGGCTGGCACAGGGAACCAAAGTGTGGCATATGTAATAAAACCCCAGACACGAGACCGAGGTGCCTTTGTGGGACCGGGGCATCCTTCTACTCCTTGAGTAAAATACCCCAGGATGCAGGGATCTGCTCTGTGCAAATATCCTTATGCTCATATCCTGGTCTTAAAGGAGCTTGCCTCAGAAAGTGTTGAGTGGGAGATGGAAATTAAGAGATTGATGTAATTTCCAGTCCTTATGTATTCCTTAAGAGGCACCTTCTACTACAGAAAAGAAAGCCCGTAAAGAATCCAGGGCTGTCTCTGAAAACTTGGTGGTGCTATCCTCTCCCCTCTTCCTGCAGCCACAGCCAGTGGAGTGTGTGCACACAGGAAAGGAGAGCCATCCTTAGCCCCATTGCCACAATTCAGAGGTGCTGAAACTTCAGTTCCTAACTTTAGCGTTCTGGAATAAGGTATTTGCATTTATATCCTTCTGGCCAAAAATCTCATAATCAAGAATTGAATTTAATATTTGTTGAGTCTTTCTCACAGAGAAGAATGTGTATTCCCATTCTAGAAGGTTTGGGGATAAATATTTCATGTAACAATTCTTGCAACCCATGTCTTTTTTCTGGTAGAATAACCTGTAACATAGAAAATCTTCAAAATGCAAGAAATTGGTTTCAACCTTGCAGAAGGAGATAGTTAAATCAATGCATGTTTCTGTCTATTTGGCAAGAAAACATTAACATGATGCATTCAGGTAAGTTTACACTCTCATCTTTCTCTTTCTTCGGCTTCACTGTGAATCCAAATTATGGTTCAGGTTCTGATTTCCCTTGGACCCTGAGCTTTTCTGGAGACAGCATCCTAATGCAACACCACCAAGTGAAACTGGCTCTTGGAAGACTGCAAAGCTGTGACCCAGAGAGGAAGCAGAAGGCAGAGCCGAGATGAGGACCAACACATGAAGCACTGAGCACAGCACCTAGCTAATCAACATCTGGTAGATGGGGATTTTATTTCACATCTTCTATGCCAAGGCCCATCTCACCCACCCTTGGAAATAATCCAGAGCATCCCAGGGAAGGACAAAACCAGGACTCTCCTTTGAGCCCCTATCATATCATTTTCTCACCCTCTTCTCACATGTTGTAACCTGCTGGAACAGGACTCTTAAATGTCTGTGAACCTAGCAATACATTGTTTGCTGACTGACTTAAAGTAGTTTTGTTTTATGTTTTAGGAAAAAAAAATATTTATTTAGAAAATGAAGGGAAAAAGAGTGCATGTGAGGGATTTTTCACTTATTGGTTAGTTCCCCCAGATGGCTACAACAGCCAGAGCTGAGCAAGGCCAAGCCAGGAGCTTCATCTGGTTCTTCCACAAAGAAAAGTTTGATTGCTGCACAGATGTGCCTAGAAGTGTACCTGCTTCACTGTACCCATGATTCTGTGCTATTCACAGCCTGAAAGACTCCAACCACCCCCCCCCCCACTTTCCCTGTTAAATCAGAAGTGAGGTCTAGGTGCTACAGGTTTAGTTGAGGTTGATGCTGTACAGACTAGAGGAGAAACATGAACCAGTTATGTAAGAATGGTTAGTGGTAACATGAACAGGAGTAGTGGGGAATAAAATAACAAGGTTCAAGGCATCTTAAAAGAACTCATAATGGTGCTTTGCTTTTTAAAATTTGGATCGATGATCGGAGTATCTTACCTGGCGAATTGTCCCTTCAAGTCGAGGTCCTGTCATGTGAAACCTATCGGTCTCTAACCATTGTCCTGGGGAAGACAAGCATCTAAGCTGCCTTTCTCAATGCTACACATTGCAGATTCAGGTATCCTCAACTCCCCACACTAAATTACTCAAACTGAAGAATCGTTGAACCTCCCAGAAAACTCCAATCATATATTCAACACGTGGAACAACATTTTAGATGCCAAAGACTCAAGTCAAAATATGGGGAAGGGGAGTAAGGCAAGGAAGAAGCACCCTGTCCACTCTACCCAGAAGCTCTTCCTGTTGGCTTCAGCATCAAAAGTATCTCAGGTGAAACCTAAACCCACATCTATTTCACAATTTTCACAACCATTGGAGAGCAGAAATCTTCTTGGACTGGTTTGTTCACATTAACTTCAGGCATAAATGAAATCCCTATTTGTTTTTCTAGGAACAAACTCTATTATGTCATTAGAGTTTCCAGAAATCTTTCAAAAATCAACAACTAAGAATTATAAAATAATACTCTGACTTATTAAGATGACTATATTAATACTCCATGTACCTGCACTATTGGGTACCAGGCCTAAAGGAAGCAGCCAAATTGTGTCATATTAGGATCATATGCAAAAACTGCCCAGTTGATATCACTAGGATTCTGCAGCAGAACAATGAATGTAATGAGAAGAAATCGAGACATAATAGTCTTTCTCAGTATCAATCAATATGTTCAGGTTGACTCCAAGAATTGCCTAGATTAGCACGAATCCAAGATAAAACACTAGGAGGTAATTAGAGAAAGTGAAATTAGCTATAAAGAAATACACAGGAAAAAATTAAAGGAGTCACAAGTCCAAAATTATCCACAAATAAATTACTTATTCAAGAAGACAAATCGTATACAGCTCTTCTCAGTGAACTATTGTTATACTCACACCTACAATTATATGAGAAAGTACTAGACCTTAGGAAGTGAGAAAATGTAAACATGATGCCCACAAAGCCCATGAGAGGAGGATAAGATGATAAGATTATCATTGTAGCCTCAAAGAGGAAACATGACAGGAAAGTGAACAGCAGGAAATTTCCCAGCTGATATCTATCAACGCTCACACACAGGGAGAAAAATGTTAAGAGACATCTTGGCATTTGTGAAGCCCAGATTTAACAACTATGTAAATTGGCTTGTCTTTGCTATGGACCAATTCTTCATACAGCGCGAGATGAATATACTTTCAAATATCCCTCAAAGAAAACCCAGCTGCCAAGTAACTTATATTGCTTTGAAATTATGACTAGCTGTGGAAATCACCAATTATTAGCCTCAGAAGGAAAAACAAAAGAAAAATAAAAAGGAAAGTAAAAGCCTTGAATTTCCACAAGAACTCTGGAGACCCAATCCCCAGCAAAACAAAAATAACTGGTAAAACACTATTTTTTAAAATATGAAAAGTCTCATGAAATTGTCCTAAGGGTATGCAGCAAGTAAAGTAACATTTATTTAACAAGATGAAATCCTGTTAGGAATGGTGAAAAATGATGAAAGTGTCCCCAGCATTACAACTCACGACATCTTTCCTGACCACAAGCTCAGCATGATGGGGACTGCATGAGTGTTTCCAAAAGGACAGGGCTTCCCCTTCCACAGCCCACAGGCAGAGACATACAGGCTGCCAGCATTTGTTATATCTCTAGTTCCATGTTGCAGAGCCTGATTCCAGGATAGTCTGGCCCCCAAAACAGGAGGCTCTCTTTCTCCAGCCAGCAGCCCCTCACAGAATGAAGGTTTAGCCTGAGGTGCATCAGACCAAGAATGCTTACTCCATGACTGCTCTCACCCTTGTAGATCAGAGACTTCATGCCAAGAGAGGCTGGTCAAGAAGACTAAGACCATAGCCCCCCACACAGTGCACCGCTCATAACACAGAGGTGTCACACTCAGCAGGTCACTGTGTCCCCACAGCCACCCTAGAGCAGTCTCCTATCTTACCCAAAATACAAAGTCTTAAGTCTCAATAATAAGAAAGTAACCAACTTGACTAAGAAATTGACCAAAGATCCTAACATTTCACCAACGATATCTAGATAATAAATGTACGTGTGAAAAGATGCTCCAGGTCAGGTGTCATCAGAGAAATGCACATTAGAGCCACAATGAGGCATTACTGCACTTCCACTAGAATGGGCAAAGGATGTAGAGCAGCAAGAATTCTTAATCACAGCTAGTGGGAATACAAAATAATACAGCCACTGTGGGAGGGAGTTTGGTGGCTCCCTACAAAACTAAACATACCCTTTACCATATGATCCATCAATCACACACTTTCATATTTACCCGGAGAATCTGAAACCTTCTGTCCACACAAAAAGTTGCACATGGATGTTTATAACAGCTTTATTTTTAACTGTCAAAACTTGGAAACAATCAAATGCCCTTTGATGGGTGTATGAATAAATAAACTGTGACTGCCCAGACAATGGAATGTTATTGAGTGTTAAAAAGAAATAAGTTGCAACACAATGAAAAAAAAAACAGGAAACTGAAATGCAGATTGCCAAGTGGAAGATGCCAATTTGAAAAGTGTACATGCTGTGGAATACTAATGATATGAAATTCTGAAATGCTAGACTGCAAAACAAGTCTCAACAAAATTGAAGGGACTGAAATCATGCAAAATATGTCATATGACAACTAAATTAAATTTTAAAATCAAAACCTGAAAGAAATATGGGCAATCCCTTAGTTGGAACTTTAAAAAAAAAATACGTTTAAATAATATGTAAGTCAAAGAAATTTCATATAAAATCAGAAAATATATAACAAAGAAAAGTAAAGATTTACAATCAGTGCTATGCTGGGATTCTTCAGGGGAGCAAAGAAATCATCAAGGAATTACTATATTTAAAACTGGCTAGTTCATGTCATTTTTCTCTGAACCCCAAACTCAGAGAAAATTCTATTATTTAGTAAACAGTATCAGGATAAGTTTACAAACCACAAAGGCAATTCAAGGGGATAACAACAACCAAATAAAATGAACAATTGATCACATGCAATTAAGTAGCCGAGATAAAAATGAGTTAACTTAAAAATACATTGATTACGAGCTCCACCATTTGCCTCTTACTAAGCATGTAGGAAGCCTCACAGACTCAGCAAATAAAACACAAGCAAAATACAAGCATCAAGTAAAAAAAAAAAATCATCCTGAGAGAGATCTAAAGTCTTACCTCCATCAGAACAAAGAGTGATGCAAAGAATAGAAGTGTCGCCCACTCCACTCTGTGTAGAATTATCTCAAAATCATGGATATCAGCTAAAATTAACAACCAGAGGGCACCCAGAATAGCAATCCATCCTGAAAAATAAGTAAATTAACATTTAAATATAGTCTAAATGATTGCCTTTTTCCTTTGTGTGTGTTAATTGATACAGTGAAAAGCGCATATGCCTAAAATTGACAATTCCCATTTTGAAGTAGACACACACTCATGAAACCAGCACTGTCCTCGGTCATGAACATATCCATCACCCCATGTCCACGTCCTTGTATCCTGTTCTAACTCCCTCTGTCACTCTTCCCACACTCCCCAGGAGCTATTTATCTCTTTCCTTTCACCGTGAGTAATCATTTTTTCTAGAAACAATACAGTATGTTTTTCCTTACTCCTCTTCAAAAGACAGATTATTCAAGTAAAATCAATATTAAGCATAATTATCTTAAGATTCCTCAATGTTTATGTGTGGACGAATAGCTCTTATTTTCCTTGCTTGGTGCTATACCATTGTATGAATATGCCAAGATGCACATACCATTCACCTGCTGATTGACGTTTGGACTTCTCTAAAGTTTGGTTATTACATATGAATACGTTATGTCACATACAATTTTGGTAAGTACGTGTAATTTCAGTTCACTTGAGAAAATTCTTAGGAATGGGGTTGTTGGTTGATTCACATGATAGATTAATATAAAATATTAAATAGGATGCTTGATAAACTGCAAAACTCGTCTCCAAAATGACTACACCATCATAAAAATCCTATCTGCAGTGTGTGATAACTAATTCCCCCACATCTCCACCATGACGTGGTCAGCCTTTCTGATTTCAGGTGTAGCAATGATTTGTTGAGGGTTTCAAAGTGCACTTCCTTGAATGACTTATGGTGTTGAGAATCACTTCATGTATACATTTATCCTCTAGACACCTTGTTTCTGTAAGGGTTTTTTTTGTTGTTGTTAAAACAGTCTGCTCCACTTTTTCATTAGGTAGAGCAAATGAAATTCAAAAAGGAAAATAACAAAGATTGGAGCAGTAATCAATGAATTGGAAAATGGAAAGCCTAGAAAAGCAATTATACCAAAGGCTAATTCTTTGAGAATATTAATAAGATACACACTTAGCCAATTTAAGTCAAACAAAAAAGCGAGAAGATGAAATTGCCAGTATCAAGAATTGTGATAGCAATGACTGCATGTTGTGCAGATTAAAAACCATACTAGTTTCCCACAGTGTCCATGAAAGGTGATCACAAACAGAGTGACTTAAAATAGCAGCTGTTTATTAACTCACAGTTTTCAGAAAGAGAGTGTGCTCATAGCAGGACTCCTGATTGGAAGCTCAAAAGGCAAATGCCAAGGAACCGACCGAGCTACTGTCCTTCTCGGAGGCTCTGGCAGAGTCTCTGCTCTCTTGCCCATTCCAGTGTCTGAGAGAGTTCAGTTCTCAGCTGTTAGACTGAACTTTGCATCTCCTTCTCTATCACCTCAGCTTCTAGAAGCCACCCACATCCTGTACCTCTTGATCACTTCTTCCATCTTTAAAGCAGGCAATGGGAATGTGAATGCCTCTCACACTTTAAATTTCTACTGCCTCTCTGTCATTGCCAAGACAATATTCTGTCTTCCAGATCTATCTTTAAGGGCTCATTTGATTACATTTGACCTACCTACATAATCCAAGAAAATCTCCCTTGCCAATCTTCATAAACCTTAATTCTACAATGCAAGATCACTTTGTTATGCAACATAACAAGCGCAGGCATTGTCACTAGAAATCAGAATGCAAATATCTTTTGGAGTTAGGCCAAGGACTGTATTCTTCATTAAGTTTTCTTTGATTTTTCTCAGGAATGCTGTGTAGAAATCACAGGAAGATTGTGTGTGGAATTTAACAACCTAATTCTAAAAATCCACATAGGAGTACAAAGGATCTAGAATACCAAACACAATTTTGGAATGAAAAATAAAACAGGAAAATACACAATATCATACTTTAAGAAATATTTATTATAAAGCTACAGGAATCAAAACAGTGTGGTACTTCATTAAGATCAAGAAACTTAATGAAGGAGAAACAAACATCCTCACACATTCTTGATTAAAAGGTGTCAGCAAAGGTTCTAAGACAGTTTTGTGAATAAAGCGCAGCCTTTTATGTAAATGGTGCTGGTACAACAGGACCATTTATGAGAATTTTTCTTTGATCTGTTCTTAAGCCATTTACAAAAGTCAGCACAAATGAACTATTGCCTAAAATGAAAACTTACCACTAAATTTCTATAATAAAACATAAGGGAAAAACATCTCTGACTTGGGTATAGGAAAATTTTCTTAGATACAGCCATAAAAGTGTTGTCCACAAAAGGGAAAACTGATACTAACTGGACTTGATAAAGAGTGTCGATTCTTGTTTCTAAAAGGCCCTTTAACTACAAGTTTAATTTCTAGTACTTTTTGTACCAAAAAAAAAAAAAAATACTAACAAAATGGAAAATGTACTGTAATAAAAGTTATCTGCTCCCTCTTTCTCCTCCCACTCAAAATGGTGTTTTTACATTGTCTAGGCCCTTTTTCTTGTGTTGATGTGAGACGATACAAGATCTATGACGAAGAGAAGGGAAGGGAAGGATGTAGGCTTCGACTATTTTAGGATCACTCCAACATGAGCACTGTGATACTGACTCAGCACTCTTGACAACTAAGGCAGCCCATTTCTGACTGAAGAAAGGGAAGCCTACGCAGTGTGAAGGACACGAGGGAACAGCATGGCACAAGGCTCATCATTCTACTTGGAACGTCACAGACTAAAATATTCTTAATTATTTTTTGAGTTTTTTCATTGACATTTTTACACCACAATTGACAGTAAGTGACTGAGAGCAGAAAATAAAACAAAGGATAAAGACTGACTATTGTATGTGGTTCTGTAATTTAAGGCATCCACTGTGGGTCTTAGGATATGTCCCTATGGATAAAGGCAGACTACTGTAATACAAGAAAAATAGAATAGGGCCCAGCATGGTAGCCTAGTGGCTAAAGTCCTTGCTTTGCACGCACTGGGATCCCATATGGGTGCTGGTCTCTATCCAGGCTATTCCAATTCTGTTCCAGCTCCCTGCCTATGGCTTGGGAAAGCAGTCAAGGACAGCCCAAAGCCTTGGCACCCTGTACCCACATGGAAGACCTGGAAGAAGCTCCTGCTTCCTGACTTCAGATTGGCAGAGCTCCAGTCATTGTGGCCACTTAGGGAGTGAACCCACAGATGGAAGACCTTTCTGTCTCTCCTTCTCTCTGTAAAATCTGACTTTCCAATAAAAAAAAAAATTAATCTTAAAAAAAAAAGAAGTACAGGATGAATGTGGATGGGGATATGTAGAAATTGGAGCTCTCCTACATTGCTGGTGGGAATGCAAAATCGTATTACTGTAAAAAAAAAAAATAGTTTGCAATTCCTCAAAAAGCTAAACCTTATTACTCTATTGACCCACCAAGGACTCACAGAGCAACCTGCATATCACTGTTTGCAGGAACATTGTTTGCGACAACCAAACAGTGTGAACAACCCAGGTGTCCACCAAAAAGTAAATGGGTAAGCAAAACACAGATATCTAGATAAATTCAGATTAGAGATTATCTGGGCCCAGGAAGGATGCCAGGAATGGCTATCAAGTTTCTGTTCAAGGTGATGAAAAGCTTTAGCAACAGGTAGTGGTGAAGGTTACATAACATCGTAAATATAATTAAACTCGCTGACTTGTGCCCTCAAAAATGATTAAAATGGCAATTTACATTACATTTATTACAAAAAAATCAATATGTCATGCCTGGAAAGTGTGTTGTCAATTAGCATGAAGCCTATACGGTGTGGGAAGAAAGATGCTGGTGTTCATTTTTTAGACAGATGGGGTAAAGTCACTATGGTTTTCTAAGCAAAGGAACTAGAGTGGCCTGGGCTTCCCATGCATGTGGGCTCTGCTGGAGCTGACTTTGTTACTTGTCTTTAGACGCTCCAAAACACCTGCCACGGTGCAGGAGACAGTCACTTGGTTGCTTGACCCATCACACCCACTAAGCTGATTCCTTGACTGTACCCTTAAACATAAATCATCTTGCTTCTATTTTCTCTAATTCTGGCTAAGAAAAAAAAAACTGCACCATATACACCGGTCCTGGGTATTACTTTTCTACAGTCATAAGTGGCATCCCATTGTTTGCTATACGGCAAATAAGAACATCGCTCTCAGAATCAGTGAAAAACACAACTTATTTTCATGATTCTCAGAGAAATTTCAGTCATGACTAGAAGCTGGAAACTCCCAAAGATTTTTTTATGGTTCTATTTTCTCTCATTTCTGGAGACCTGATTTTTCATGCAGCTGAAACTGCTGTCACAGCACTCATCAATTCAACTTCAATACAGGTTCTGTATTCACAGGGAGTTGGTCTTGTCAGAAAAATCACCTGCAATAACCTGCAACTGAATGAAGATTCTCCATGTTTCTGAAAATGTGCACTTTCTCCCTCAATTTTAATTACATTGCCTACAGAGTCGGCAGCACTAATCACACTGCTGGTGCTCAAGCATATCTGTGTGGCAATAGCTGGTCCCTTCAAGTTGCACCTGCTAACATGCCCCCCTCCAGGGCACCATCAGCAAAGTTCCATTCTGCTCTTGCTCAGGGCCAGCTCCTCAATGACAGTGATATAGGATGCAGTCATGGATTCTTTTATAGTGTGCCAAAAGGAACAGACCACTGATGGGAACATCACAATTCTCAGCTTCCCATTCTATTACAAAGTGTAACAATGTGCCATTGAGACTCTCCCAGAATTTAAAGTTTGGTTAAGATGGATAAGGCTCAAAAGTATCAGTTACCTGAGCTGTCTTTATCCTGTGGTGCTTCAATCAAACCCCTCACCTTGAATGGATATTAATCTTGCACCAAGAGCTTTGCCATCCCATAAAGCAGAACCAGTGATAAGTGGATCTCCAGCATCCAAGCAGAATAAAGAGCTCAGCGGGTCCTGTCTCCCCTCATTGTTCTAGCATTGCACAACACAATTCAGATGAATGTAGGTCAAGAACTTCATCACTCACTGAGCAGCCTCCATCGTGCAGGAACTTATCAGTCATCTATCTGCCACTCAGCCATTGAGGAAACTGAGGTTCCCAAAAATGTACTAGTTTTCGTCCAACTGTAGGGATAACTTGGAACAAAACTGGATTCAATCCCTTGTTAGAAGAGTTTCTGTCCATGCCACCCTATGGATTCCACTCATGTGCTCAGTCTTTACATGGCATGCTTTGAGCTGCTTCTGAAATACATCTGCTTCATTAACAAAGTCTCTCCCAGGTGAGGTTTGGGGAGAAATACTCTGAAAACTATCACCAAAAGAAAGGCTTCTACCTTCAATCTTGCAACCTTCTCTAAAACACACCCAGCACATGCTTTCTGGTCTGGACATTTTACAACCATCTTTGACCAAAACTGTCCTGGTGAATACACTACCTATACTTAAAGAGAGCTAACTGACCTATCTGTCTTGGGCCATATGGGATACTTCTCCAGAGAATACTTCAACATTGTTCCTTTCCAATTCAGCCTTCAAACCAGGAAAACTTACAGATGAGCTATACAGACCAGAAATCAGGATACAGTGAGATACCTCCTGAATATTGACCATCAACTGTCTATGATAGCAAAAATGAAGCTTGTGTCAAATAGTTAAGGACTTTCAGCTACATAATTACACTATTGCATCTTCCTTGACTACTTCTAGATCCCTCACAGGAGTTGTCATTTACTCAACCATTAAGCCTTCTCCAGTGCATGAGCTCAGTGTCCCCTCCTGGGGAGTTCCCAGACCACAGTTGAGTGGAAATGCTACAGAGCGCTTCAGACAAGGTGTCTCGGGTCAGAATGAGCAGTTACCATGGAGTTAAATCCTGTGATTGAACTATGCATAGGGCAATCATAACAGGACCCACAGGAGGGACCACCTATATAATCTATAATCTTATAATGTAATCTATGTAATCTGATAATCCATGTAATCACCTATGTAATTATTACATATTACACATTCTTTCATGAGCAAATCCTATTCTGTCTAGTTGTTCTTTAACATCCATTAAAAGCAAGACTATTGTTCATCATGTTTGTGTTTTCCTGGGCTACCAAGAATCAGCCTGAACTGTTCATTCACATCTCAATCAACCACGCACCAGAGCATTTGCCTATTATCTGATTCAATCCTCACAGCAGCCTATGGGCAGCACTGGAGCAAAGAATGGGTGCAAAACTGCAGTAGTATCAAACAAGATCAACCTTCAAATCTGTCTTCTCCCTAACTAGATCGAGAGAGACAACCGGAAATCATTCAAAATGCCGGTTGTGGCTGCTACATCAAACTAAAAATAAGCCAATAGTTTCCGCTCAGCCTGTCCCACAAAGAGGGGCTACAGAGGCCATGGTGGAGATCTAACGTAAGATCCCACATGATCTCCAGTCATGCTTAGGAAAATCCACACAGCATCAAGTCAGTAGCTTAAAACAAATAAAGTTGGGAAGAATAAAGTTGATTAAAACATAAGTGATTGTATGCATTTTGCTCCAAATAGTTTTCCATCAATACTGAGATCCACCACAAATAGCAGGTAGATGGGATGCTGCTGAGCAACAGCTCCTAATTTTCTATCATCTCCACCCATTCTTGGTCCAAGAAGCTGACTTCTGCAGCCCACACAAAAATATGTGCTTCATGACAAAACATGATTTGATTAAACTACACAGAAAGATCCCGATTTTGTAGAAGATGTCACTGAATCTTGAAGAAAAGAGGTCAATAAATTCTGAGACCATACGGCAAGGTAATGGAGGGTAAAAGGGTACACACCTGCCTACACAGCTATGCCACTTGAGTTTTCATGAGGATTGAAGATGGAAGCCAAATAGTGCTTTTATCTCAAAGCATAGTGCTTCTGCATGGAAGTAGCAAGGTGTAGATTTAAGGCTCATTTCTTGCTAGACCAGGTCAGTGGGCCATAGCTTCTCTTCAGTGAAAGTAGAAAATAATTTTTCCTCTGTAGCCAATCTATCCTATCTCCAGTGACTCTAACTATGATGAAAATGGATAAACACAAAATCAGATTAAGAAGTGAACAAGTAATTCCAGCCATGCATTGAACAAAAGATGAAAATGCTCAGAATGCAGACAAGTTGAGTTTTTTGGAGAGGGCAACATTTAGACATTTAATCCTCAGAGCAGTGTTTATGGTCTTCTGTTGGCGGGGAAGGTGGTGGTGGTGGTAATGATGGTGTTGTTGGCGGTGGTGTTGGTGTGTGTGTGCATATGTGTTTTGATCCAGTAGGCTCCAGTCTCCGGGCTCCTGGCTTCGGGTTAGCACAGCTCCAGCTGTTGTGGTCACTTGGGGAGTGAATCAATCGGACGGAAGATCTTCCTCTCTGTCTCTCCTCCTCTCTTTATATCTGACTTTCCAATAAAAATAAAATAAATCTTTTAAAAAATGTTTAAGGAATATGTTAAATGTCATATCTGGTTACGTAACACCCATTTTTAAATAAAACCTTGTATTATATAATACCACTTAAAGTTTTACAATACCACATGTGTAACACGGTATGTAATGATAATTTCATGTCTGGCACAAACATGTTGTGATATGATGCCTTGTATCACATGTTACATGATATACATATATGGCATGATGCCCTATTACGGACATGATGTGTAAGTATTCTATGGTACCTCCTTGTGTTATATGACATCATGTTTATACAACATCATCTTGTGTTAGTACACATTGCATTGTGTCACATAATGCACAGTATATGACATCACCTTTTGTCACATGGCATCATGCCTGTGTCATACATGATGCAAAGAAAATGATCATATTTTCTCCTGACTGAAGCCCTGAAAAGACCTTGCATCAACTTTGCTCTTGCTATTATCAGAATTATTGCAACTCTAAGGGACCTGTATTCTATTAAAATATATGCTGATCAAATGTTTTCTACTCAGCCTAATCTGCTATGAAAATATGCAAATGTATGGATTAGATACTCCAGAATCCCCAAATAAAATCCTAGGTACACAAACTCTAACTAAAAACAGACCAAGATTTATAAGCAGAAAAGGATTAATCGTAGAGGTAACAGCCATACACAAAGAGACAAGGCAGCTTTGTCAAAAGCAAGATTTCCCACACCGAAATGAAACTTCACAGTAATCAAGATTTAAGCCCATGTAAAGACTGACATTGAGTTTTAAAATTGTCATTCTTTATGCAAGGATTAGATGCTGGCAAAATTATTTGTAAGCTCTCATACATTTTTACTTTTCAAAATGACCATTACATTCGTTTTAAGTAGAATTTCAAATAATATTACAAATAAAATCTGTAAAATCCAAAAACTCTTCTAATGGGACACTTATCCCCGTAAAACATTCTTTATATTGTATTTGTTAAATGGCCACTGTTGGCCATTTAACACTGTTAATCTTCTGCTGATTAATAGCTTGTAATATTAAAATGATATTTTCGCTTGAGTATAATTACCCTGCAACAATGTCTAGATATAATCCATGAAGAGCATGGGAAATCACTGCCATTGTTGCCAGTCCTGCTTCAGCTTTTTCCATCATCTCACTGAGACTCTGCATCAGCTCTCAGGTACAACTAAAGACACCTGTCAGCTCAGCATCAAGCCTAGGTCAGCTGGCAAATTGGATTTGAGATTTTTTGGAGAAATTAACTTTGAGAGACTGTGAATGTGTGATATAAAGGTGAACACCTGGTCAAAAGCAGGTGCATCATGTGCTGTATGTGAGAATCTAGAAATATGAGTTTCTACCTAAGACAATGAAAACTGACTCCTATAGATTTCCAACAGTGTCTAGGAACCCGAGGGACAAAGACGTTATGTGAATAACTGAAGCTGGCTGCAATATCCATCTGTTTCACAAGATTCACAGGTTTTCCTTCATATAGCAGTTACGCTCTTTGAAGGTCACCATACATCAAAGCTAATAAAAGAAAATAAGGTATTTTATAGACCTTAGCAAAGTTCATTTTTGAATGAAAATTTGAGGTAAAGAAAAGACCCAAGAGCTGCTCAAATTTATATCTCTCATGAGCCTGTGCTTTGATGAAAGAGAGACATTGGAAGGGATTTCCTGTTTTCTTGTTTTGTCTTAAATAACGACACCAATGGAAGTAAGAAATGTTTACAGAAAGTGGAGTGTTCCAGGGAACGTGTATTAATAAAGCTCAGTGAGGAGGTGTCCAACCCCTCTACAAGACTGGACAGAGCGGAGCGGTCTGAGGGCCACAGAGAGGTGAGAATGAGAGAAGAGGACCCACACGACGGTGGGACAAGGGATTTGCTGCCTTGACAGGAGCAGCCGCCCATTGCAGTAAGGAGGGACCTTTTGCACAGAGGTCTCTGGACTCTCTTGCTCTTTCACAGTCTCTCAATTAGTCATCCCCTTGAGCTGTTCTGTGGGGAAGGCAGGCCTAGCTTTGCCAATGAACCTCCTTGTCTCTGTTAAGGAAACCTTGAAAGACCTAGTTAGCAAGTGCAGTAGAGATGACAGTACCTGCTCTGAGTTGGCAGACAGTGGATCTCAATATTTCTCTCTCTCTCTCTCTCTCTCTCTCTCACTCTTCTCCTCTCTCATCAAAAAGAAGTAAGCACAGAAAGGCTTCTGCCCACAATTCCCCTCTGCCCTCACCAGCCTCCGTGCCTCACTGCTGCTTCCCATAAGGACTGGGTGAGCATCTGCCTCGATGTCTTTCCCCTTCAGCCTATGATATCAATTGCAAGCTCTAACAACGAAACCTAACAAAAAAATTAGACTCACCTAGATCAAGATGAACACCAGGGACAAATGAATTGAGGAAGAATGTGAAGATAACAAATCCCAGCACTGTCAGGCATTTGATGAGCAGAATCTGGTCTGATATCCTGTGCTGTGAGAAAGAAAAACACATCTCATTTACTCAGTGCAGCCTTTGATTCCTGCATTGTGTCCACAGCCCTACGTGACTTGAATTGTTACAAGCTCCTCCTTATAATGAAAGAAAGAAGATCTTGAACTTGAAATAAAATAACAAGGTAATGTGGTAGAAAGAAAATTGTACAGAGTCTGGATCACTGCATCCAAAATTGTTATGAAAAGTAAACACAATAGACATAAAAAGCAATAGTCTTTTATACAACATCAGATTCCCAATATAACACAGAGAGTGTTAAGCTGTTCCAGCCCTTTCCCAGCGTCTGGTGGGAAGGTGACAAATCACCTCCAGCGATCTGGTCATTCAAGACACAGTATTTCCACAGGTGTCTATGTGGTCACAGCCTTTCATTCAACTTTCCTATTATGCAAAGCCCATGGTGAAGAAGCACACATGTTCTTGCAATAGCAGGACCCCTGCTAATGCTCCTGGGAGGCATCAGATATACTTGGGCACCAACCATCCATGTGTGAACCAACTGGTTCCTGCTTTGACCTGGCCCAGGCCCAGGTGTTGCAGGCATTGGAGGAGTGAACCATCAGATGGACCAGTGCTCCCTGACTCTCTCGTGAATATTCTCTCTCTCTCTCTCTCTCCCTCTCTCTCTCTTCCATTTACCCACTTCGTGTGTGTGTGTGTGTGTGTGTGTGTGTGTGTGTGTGTGTGTGTGTGTGTGTGTGTGTGCGGGCGTGTGCACATGGCTATCACTAAGCCTTTCGGATAAATAAATAAGCTAATCTTTAAAAATAACTTACTCTGTCTCAAAACTCAGAGTACTGTGGCAGGACACCACACATCCTCTGTCTCTGCCAGTCCAGGTCACAGTTCACAAGCCTCAATTATCTCTCCTGAACACAAGAACCAGGAGACACGCATTTCAGAGTCAGGCAGGGCTAGTGAGTCTCAGGTCCACTGGGTGGGTGGGCTCTGGATGTGTCTCCAGAACACAATTTTGGGGCATCTTAAAGAGCATAAAAATGTTACTGTCTCAATTTCCTGACAAAATAAACTTATAATAGCATAGTTTCCCCCTTAATTCATAGAAACAGATTTTGTGTTGCCTACTGCTACAGCAATAAAAACAGAAATGGCTTCCAGTATTAAACCTGAGTGAGATAACAAAAAACAATCCAGGGGCTGGCACCTTGGCAAACCAGGCTAATCCTCCACCCGCAGCACCAGGATCTCAAATGGGGGCTGGCGGGGGTCCCAGCTGTTCCACTTCCTTTTTTATCTTTTTTATTTATTTATTTATTTATTATCATTTTATAGTACAGTTCAATAGGCTCCCGGTACTTCCCTTATCCCAGCCCCAATCCCCCCCACACCTAGTTTATCTATATCATTACTAAAGTATAGTTCTTCATACGCAGTCATATGTCCATCATATGCCCATCATTGCGGGCATGGACAATGGCAGAGTCCAGCATTCTATTGTCAAGATATAGTAAACAGTTTCATTGTAAATCCATCTTTGCTTAGAAGTAGAGATGCATACTACATCATATCCTCACATCTGGATATGTTAATCTCCATTTCACAGTTACTGTATATCCCCTTAAACGAAAAGTCGTAGTACAAAATCAACAATAGGAAGAAAAATAGAAATTTATAATGCCATGAAGTTAAATAACATATTACTAGATATGAGAGTCTCCATTACACAGCTACTATACAACCCCTTAAATGAAAAGCCACAAAGCAAAATCAGCATCAGGGAGAAAAAAAGAAATTAACAATACCATGAAGTTAAATAACATGTTACTGAATGACTAATTTTTCACTGATGAAATGAAAAAGAAAATCAAGAACCTTCTTGAAGAAAATCATGCTACTGTAAGACCTATGAGTCATTGAATAATCAAAAGAAAGTGTTTTGAAGAGATGAAACTAATAAGCACAAAAATATCAAAATCGATGAGATATAGTTTCTGCTGATTTTTGTTGGCGAAATGTGTTTCTTACAGACAACAAATAGATGGGTTTTGCTTTTTAACCCAGTCTACTAATCTATGACGTTTGATTGAGCTTAAGCCATTCACATTCTGGGTTAACATGTATGGGTGGTATGGCTTGAGAGCGCAGTAAAGGAGGCCTCAATATCTTTGGCCCCTGCACCCACATGGGAACCTTGAAGAAGCTCCATGCTCTTGGTTTTGAACTAGTCCAGCTCCAGGCACTGTAGACACTTGGGAAGTGAACCAGCAGATGGAATATCCCTCTCGGTGTGTCTCTCCTTCTCTCTTTATAACTCTTCATCTCAAATAAACATAAATAAATAAATACTTCTAAAAAAGAAAAGGAATCCATGGCTCTCTAGTCAAGAGATAAATCCCAGAGACTAGAAACCATGATACCTTTTTTTGCAGCTCCTGGATATTGGTCTCCCAATTTTTGTCTTCCTGTGAGATTTGTCTGAAAGAGAAGAGAACAGACTCATTATTTTCCCAGTCATATCCCAGTGAACTGACAGGGCAGCAGTCAACAACACTCTGAGGCTGGCACAGACAGACACATGCACAGGCACAGACACAGAGGCAGACAGGTAAGGACCACAACTGGCAACAGAAGGCAACCAGAATTTGCTTTACTGATTAGAAAATAAGTCCATGCATTACTTGCAAAGAAAAAATGTACATAAAGTGATCCAAATGCTGAAATAAGTGTGTATTTGCATCTGTAATATGATTGATTCTTGGAGTCCAACTGCCTGAACTAAGGAATACCTAAAACCTAGACTTTTCTTGGTGTACCTAGGAAGGTGCTTCCAGCAAAACAGCAGCTTGGGTCTAAGTGAGTCCAGAGAGAAAGATGTGTCCTCAGTATGGTTGGCTACCATTCAGCTGGTTGGGACAGAAAGACAAAATAGGGAAGGGTTGAACATGGGCATCTCTGAGACACGGCATCACACACCTCTCCTGTCATCGAACACTGGAAATCGAGGCTCTCTGGCTCCTGGACTTCAGGACTAACAACAGCAATCTCTGGGCTTGCCGGGCCAGTGGTCTTACAATGAGAATTACACCCCAGCTTCCTTACAGAGACTCAGCCAGACTACCAGCATCCTAAGGTCTCCAACACTCAAGTAGCCCGTTGTGTAACCAGTTTCAGACCCGTGTGAGTCCAATTATCCTATTAAATGATTTCTTTCCTATCTGCATGTACGCTTGCACACACACAGAGGCTTCAGAAGTTATTAAAATTAATAGCACGTTCCGCAAAACATTGTGAAGACCTGTGAGTGTGTATGTCCGCTGATGCTTCTGTCAGAACCCTGACCAGCAAGCATGGCTACTGTGGGCACATGAAACATCATGAAACACATTTCATTCACATGCCAAAAAGAAAGCAAGAGGAGTGACTGCACGCCACCTGTATACCTCTTATTTTCTGAAGTTCTTGTTTCCAAAAGGAGAACCTTGTACCTTGACAACTAGCTGAAGGAAAGCGTGGAAACAGAAAGGCCTTTTTCCTTCGTGGTAATTTGTATCCATCAAGGGTCAGGTTTCAAGAAGTTTTATATCTGTCACAGAACATTCATCTCTGTCCCAGCACCTCCAATTTGCCCTTCCTATTCATCTTTCTAACTTAGCCAACCTTTTCGGCTCATTTTCTCCCATGCCAATCAGGGAAAAGTAGCTGCCTAAAAGAAAATGTCATTTTCGTAACTCATCACAAGATTAAAAGCAGTCTGACCACGCAGGCAGTGGGCTCCATGAGGACCCATTTGAATGATTCTAAAGAAGGCTGTTACAAGGAAGCTAAAAGCAAGACTTGCAGAACTAGCACTCCCCTCAGATGACCTTCACTCCCATCTGCTGCCCAGGGAATGTGTGGCCTCTGGGTGTCTCTTGCCAGCCCAGGATCTGATGATGGTTAATTTCCAAGCCCATGTGTTTCTTCACAATTGTGAGTCTGAGATCACCCCAAGCAAAGACCAATTATTTCTGCATCTTCAGCAAATGAAAATTGCCTCTTTTACTATGTATGCCTGTCTTAAAAGTTGATAGGGTATAGGTGTATCAAACACTCATGTCCTGTTTCAAAGTGCTTGGATGAGATACCCAATTCCAATTCTTGACTCCAGCAGCACATAATGGTTTAAAGAAGTGGGTTCCTGATACCTTCATGATAATCTTGGGTTGAACTTTTCACTCCTGTCTTTGGCCCAGCCCAGACCTGGTCATTGTATGTTTTCCAGGAAAGAGCTGGGAGCTTGCTATCTCTATACTCCTTTCTATCTCATTCTCTCTAATAAAAACATCAAAACAAGGATACCCAGGGGTCCTTTAGCCTTTGTATACAAGTCCTGCTTGTCCAGCCTCCCTGGGTGGAGGTGGGTGCTGGGCTGGGGATGCAGCTAATGCTGCAGAGTTGACATTTCACCCTGCATCTCTGGGTCTTTGCATCACATGCTTCTCCAGAGGCTGACCTGTGACCTTCTCCAACACTCAGAGACCAGTCCGGAAGGCAGCAGTGCAATGTGAGCCCTCACGTGCCTGCTGCCTTCAGTGACCAGCCTCATGTGAGACCATTTTCAAGTTTGCTCCCCAGGATCCATGGTTCCTTTGCCCTAAAAAAGTTCTCATCTCCACCCAGCTCCCAAGCCCCACCTATCTCATTTGTAGGAATGCAGTAACATCTTTTGGAGCCAATGAGTTTCTGCTTTCATGTCACAGCTACCAGATTGCTGACAGACTGGAACTCAGTACCTCGCAGTAATGAGAAAAAAAAGCCTCACCAAACTCATGGTTACCTTTTAAGTCTCAGCTGTGACTAAAAATGAATACCAAGAAATGAACTGAGAAGGGTTTAAGTATTCCTTGAGAAGCCTAAAAATTAACTGCAAGGAGAATAATTTTGCCAGATGTGTAACATCAATTGCTTTTGATTTAAAATGTGGGAAGCAGAGCCAGCTCAACAGGCTAATCCTCTACGTGGTGCAGGCATCCCCTGTGGGCATTGCTTCATGTTCCACCTGCTCAATTTCTGATCCACCATCTTGCTTATGGCATGGGAAAGCAGCAGACAATGGCCCAACTCCTTGGGACCCTGCACCAACATGGAAAAAAAAGTTCCTGTTCCCGACTTTGGATTAGCTCAGTTCTGGCTGTTGTGGCAATTTGGGAAGTGAACCAGCAGATGGAAGCACTTGTCTATCTCTCCTTCTCTCTTTAAATATGCCTTTAAAATAAAATAAATAAAGCTATTGAACTAAAGGAAAACAAAAATAAAATATGGGAAACCCAGTGGTATGAATTCAGTCCTCAGCCTGACTTATCACACCATCTAGCACTGGGAAAGTTGTTCAAACTCTTAGCCTGTTCTTATGTTCTTAAACTACATTAATATCATCATACACTACGCATAGTTAAGTGAGTGTTAACCAAAAGACTGCACTATGAAAGAATTATCCCATTATGTGACAGCTAAAAACTATCCCATAGTACGCAACTAGTATCACCATTTTACAATGCTATGAAATTCTCTCGAAGAACCCTCCTTGTAGCTCATTTCATTAGTGTACTATATTACATTCAGACACTGTTAATATGTTAGTGAAATAGGATGCTCATGCCAGCCTCCCATTAAACACAACTGCTAATGATGAGAATCACAGCAGTACCCCATGTGATTCCAGCAGTATCCCGCTCAGTACCTGTTGAAGCTGTGCAGTCTTCGTGCCAGCAGGTGCTCCAGTGCCAGCACCTTTCCCATCAGCAGGCCACGCACAGCTGTCTCCTCCCGGCTGGCTGGGCTGATGCGCTGTGCTGTCAGGCGCCAGACGTGAATTTCGTGCTTCAGTTCTACCGGGACAGGAAGGAAAGGCTGGGATTTCTCAGCAACTCTCACACAGTACACACACTGACAAAAGGCAGGTGGCTCAAGGTCAACACAAAGCAGCCATTCCCAAACCTTTGAATGATTGTAATGGAACCATGTAACAAAGCTGGCATAAGAGTCACCACAGAAGTGAAGTAATACAACTTCAAAGCCTAGGGTAAAGAACAAATTCCATTCTTGAAAAAGATACATCAATAAAACTAGCCCCAGATAACCTTGTCCCCTTCCCATAAGAAGTAACACAGATCCTGATTTCAGCCCAAATCTAGGTCTCACCCAATCATTGAGTGAGGTCTGGTGAAAACAGAAAGTGCCAGTGTAACTCTCAGGGGATGATGCCCAGCAGGTGGGAGAAGCCCTTACGGCCAACGAGGCACAAGTATAAGACGTGGGTCAGAGAAGTGGAGAATGGCACGTGAGACACTGACATTAATAGAAGAAGCTGAATTTTCACCCACCACTGAACTTAGACATCTTCCAATCTAGAGTAGAGAGAAATTATTTGTCACTGCACTGCTTCTTAAGACAGAAAATGTTTCATGAATGCTTATATTTAACTTCTATTTAACCATCAAAAACACTACATAATGCGTATGCAATGCTCATCCAAATATAATAAAGCATGATATTTCCAGAGACCCAGTCATACACAATGTCTTATGTTGCATATTGCAAGAATTAAAGGTGGAATTAAAAGATCAAAGCTTTTCAATCAAGGTTTAAGGCACCTGGAAATTAGCTCAGGATATAAATAAGGCAATAATCCAAAGACCTGTGAGGTAGCATGAACCTTATGGTTCAAACAAGAAAACTAACATACCACCTTTTAATCCCACTCTACTCAATATATCCTTTGCTGATCATCTGTTATGTGGCAAGTGTACTGTTAACACAGAGAATGTAACGATGACTTGGGCAAAGAGATTCAGACCGCAAACAAAGCCCATCAAGACTCAGAATAGAGAATTAAACACAGGAACACTAAAACAAAGTTTTCTCCAAAGCTTGAGCTTTACAAACAGCTTCCTAACAAAACAAACACTAGCATAATGCAAAAGCCCCTTTAGAAAAATAGAGCAATGAGATCATTTCTAAAAGTCTCACATCATTAAACCATCTACAAGCTCATGATAATCTAAATAGAGATGGAAGAGGGGAAAACAGAGGAGGAAGGAGAAAAGGAAGAGGAGGAAGAAAAGAGGAAAAAGAGCAAAGGAGGGAGAAAAAGAAGGAGAAAGGAAAGGAGGGGAGGAATGTGGAGGAGAAGGCGAGTAAGAAGAATCACCAGTGAACAAGGCAACAGACAAGCCCTCTGAACAGTTTCTGTCTAGAGAGAAAAGGGAGACAGAATGGTGAAACAACTTCAGTGTAAGTCCATGTACAACCAGCATTTCATCCAATTCTCTCAACTTCAATAAAATGTCATTATCTTTCACCTAGATACCCAGACCAAGTTCCCTGATCCTGGCTTTGGCATGGACTAGTCCTGGTTGATATGACCACTTTCTCTCTCTCTTTCTCTCTCTCTCTCTTTCTCTCTCCCTCCTTTCATCTCCTCCCTCCCTGAAATAAATATAATAAATAAATAAAATGCTTTTTTAAAAAACCCTTTTTGCAAAATATCCAGGGCAGTCAGGCCACCCACATCCCCTGTTACAGTGCTTGATTTCAGTACCCATCCTTGGCTCCAGACTAGGTTCCTGCTAATGCAGACCCTTGAAGGCAAAAGTGAGGTCCTTGTCACCCACACAGGAGACATGTATTAAGTTCCCAGTTCCCAGCATTTGGGAAGTGGACTAGTGGAGAGAAGTTCATTCTCTCTCCCCTCTCTCCCTCCCTTCCTCCCTCCTTCTGAAACAGGTCTATTTGTGAAGTACAAAGAACTTTCACCCACGTAAGTCAAATGCTAAGAGCTACTCTCTGAAGCAATTGACCAGACTAGACATCAGTGAGTGTGCCCTTCTAGGTTCCTGGGTTGCTTCCTGATGATGTGCCCTTGACAGAGGTGGCCTCATCCCCTTTCGGGCCCACTCAGAGTTTTCCAGCCCTGGCCATTGAGAAGTGAACCAGCTAATGAATGTGATATCTCTCTCTCTTTCTCTCTTTCTCATCTCTCTCTCTCTCTCTTCTCTCTATCATCTTTCTTTTTCTTTCATTGTAACTCTACCTTTCAAATACATAAAATAAATCTTTAAAGAAACTAAATCAATAGGTTAAAGAATGAGTCTCCAACAAGCTAGAGAAAAGATTTAAGGCTACACAACAATAAGCATAATTCATAGCAGTAGGGGCCATAAGAGCAGCAGAGGGCACTGTTATTATTCTTGCCTGTTCCCTTGTTCCTGTCCAAGGTCATAAGCTTATACAGGCTGTCTTGCTTGCCAATTCTGATTGCTTCTTAGTAGCCTTTTACTAGTCTTGTCCTACCAATCTATGCCCTGTTTAATCATAAAACACTGCTACTTCTATTCATCCATATATCTAACACCTTTCTAGATTATGACAAAGAAAGAGACTCTTCCTTCACATATCCAGTGGGTGACACAGAGCCTGTAAATTAAAGCTAGATCTTTTTAGGCAAGACTCAATATCCTTACATGACCAGAGTCATTGTGAGTTCTGATCCTGTCTCTTAAGTTTCAACTCTGCCACATCGGCCCACAAACCAGGAGATATCATCATTGTGCGTCCCTCCATCAGCTGTTATCCTGATGTTTTTCAGTTCACTTCCTAAAGATTACTTGATGTGGTTCCATATGTGTTCCAACCAGGCAAAGACAGAACCAAGTGGAATGTGCTTACCTAGGAGGTAACGGCTGCTAGGGAAACCCCACTTGGCGCTTGTCTCTTACTACAATCCACACTCTACGTCTCATTGAGGAGGGAATGGTTGTTTTTCAAATAACCTATTGTTTGTGACATATTCTAGTAGGTATTTTTATTAACAAAACATCTAAATTTTTAAGTGTCAAAAGCAGTATGATGGTTGTAAGCCCTCTGCTTGCCGGCTGGTGACTCACCTTTGTGCTAATGATCAACACAGCCTTATCGCTGCAGAGATCACACCTCCAAATCGGTCATTCAAGCTGATATAAAACTAGAGCACCGCTGTCTACATTCTAGATGTTGTGTGTTATACAAAAGTGGTTTCAGGAAGTCATGACATGTGAGATCTACATGGTAGGCATCATGTTACATATGATAGAAAAATAAAGAGGCACAGTTCATAAAAGCATTCTGTGTGCTCCAAGGTGGCACATGTGGACAATCAGCCACAGATCTCAAGCAAGGATCGTCCCAATGGTGGATCCTTCTTCGATGTTCTACATTTGATAATGCCTCCTGCCCATCAGTAAGGAAAGTAAGACAGAGCAGTGAAGTCTGAGGCTGGATGAGGAGGGGTATATACTCACCAACAATCTCACTAGGCTCCTTGTTATAAAGCTTTCTGTTCCAGTAGAGGAGTCTGAGGAGTGGGAATGAGACCAGGAGGATGAAACAAATCCCAACGAACATGTGTGCAGTGAATCCCGCAAAATCCAGTCCCTGCAGAGAGCAAAGGGGAAATGGAATCAGACAGGCCTTTCTCTGCACAGGTTCAGGCAGCTCACCATGTCAAGAAACAGAGAGAGATGAGATAAGAAGGAAAGGAGTACAGCAGGGTCTTGCAGGACCTTATGTCTAGGGTCCTGGAGCCCAGTACAAGGCTCAACAAAGAACATGTGTTCCTCATTGTGAGTTTGAAAATGACGAACTTTTTTGTTTTTCATGCAAAGAAGCCAATTTTTACATGAAAGACAAGCAATCCTAAGACACAGATAAAAATCAAGTTACCACTTCTAATTCCAATCTTGGTTGATCTGATCACCTGGACTAATGCAATTATTCTCCTCTATTTGGATGAAAAAAGCAAAGAGTGACAAAACATGAAACTGCGTGGCAGTATTTCTCCCATTGAAAGATAAATTCTTTTTTTTTTATCTCTAAGGCTATTCTATTGATTCAAAAAGAACTTCTCCCAGCTAGAGCATAGACGCTAACTCCCCAGAAAACCTAGTAGCCAGCAGAGCATTCACAAGGGTCCCAGGTAGGGGAGCCTCTACTTGGCCCACATGGTTTTTCTGACTTCTGTGTCACTACACATCACGGTGAGGTCAATGACTGCATGAAGCTATCCATTTGATGCAAGTTCAAGATCTTTTCTTTAGGTCCCTGGACCAAACATTTATGGAACCAATGAGTCAGAAGCATACTGACAAGGCACAACCATGGGAGGCCCCAGTGTGGGAACATGCCCAGTAGTGGGGTGGCGTGGCCATGTAAGTCACAGGAAATACATCTATGCCTTGGGGGTCAATGACAGATCTCATGGGATATTAGACCCCAAGACCACACCCAAGAAAGGATTCAGGGAAACAACCCTACGAAGGCCAGGGTTGGAAAGAGTGATGTGACACATGTTCACTAATTACTGCTTATCAAAACAATTCTAGAAAAGTTCTGGCACCAAAAACAGTGCCACAGATATAACACAACCAGAATAGATTATCCAAAAAAAAATCTCAAAGTTAAAACTTATCAAACCATGAAATTTTGAAATTCTTAATCTTTTGCATCTAGCTGCTTACCAAATGGCTGCCCTTGAAAACAACTTTACAAGTGACAAATGAAACTTTATGAACTCGTTTAAATTCGGCAGGGAAACCTACAGACAATTGAGACTCATGGAATGCTTTGAATGGCTATGTAAAAACCTCATTTGGGGTGAGGTATGTGAAACAACCAAGAAAGAACCACCAGAATCAAAGTAGGACATCCATAGCTTACAAAGCTGCAAACATTTCCGGCATATGTGACTGAGAAAGTCCAGGCCCACCAATTCTGTTTTTCTAAGATTTTGTATTCTCAGACTTATTCTGTCATTCAAGCCAAAACAATTTTTTTATAATACTTCTAAGTGAAAAATCAAAGAAATGCTTACCAAATGCTTAGCCAGATTAACACAATGTTTTATTGAAATATGCATGTCGTAATTAAAAAAAAGAATCCCAGGAAGGAGAAGACCCTAGTATTGCAGGAGTGTATATGATGACCAGACTTGTAGGAATGGATGTGAGTCATAATAAAGAACTGGTCACTCAAGCATATGGTGGAAGATTCCAGGACAGATGGGTTGGAAGCGGTAGAACATTTGTACTCCATTAGAATGAGTTCCAGCAGGTAACTCTGAGATTAAAAGGTCAAAAGTTCCAGAACACTGAGACCACAGGTATTGAAAACATGGGGCAGTGGGTGCAGGACAGAAGATTCACAAAAGAGATCAGATGTTGTCAGAGAAGCAGAGAAGGAACCAGCAAAATAATACCATCAGTGTCATCACTTGGAGAGAACATGGCGGCCGAGGAGTAGTCAAAGAAACTTCTAGTATATGCAGTACACAACGTGGTGGGAAAGCCAGGAGGAAAGCTGAAATGCACACAATTCCAAGAGCAAGAGGGTAAAGGTATGACGAATATGCCAGCGTGCACAGCACACAGGCATAATGGGGAGGTTATCGAAAGAGGCCTTTCAAGTGGTGTTGAAAAGCTCGTTGTCTGGCTTTCGTTGGCACTGATGAGTGTCCCTATGATGGTCATAAAGCAGTAAATGTGACCATCCAAGGAGGACTGCCTTGCTGTCAGCCTATTGAAATATGAAAGGATGGAAGACTATAGCACACAGGACTCCACCACACTACAGATGTATCTATTCCCAGGTGAGGAAAGGGCAGCTGTCAACATGCTGGATCTTGGAAGTCTTCTCCATCAACCTGGTTAGTGCTGGACATTTCAAAACAAAGAACCATCACAAGAGACCCTGGAGAAATGAGCATGGCAGGGATAATGGACAATGGAAAGAATATTCTTCACAACTTCCTCTCTTCCCTACCCTAATTCTCAGAGAATGTGATTACAGATGAGAAATCTTGACTGGTGCAAAGCTAGTGCTTATTTATTATTCTTCTGAATTACTCTGAAGTATTGATTTTCCATGTGAATATTTTTAATTAATTCCAAATTTCAATTTTATTTCATAAATGGTTTTCTTCCCACTTGAATTCCTTGGTGAACAACCAAATAAAGCAATGTCAATATGACCGCCACGCTGCAATGCATGGCAGTGCTGCCATCATTGGTGAAGTTTTCCTAAATTCTCCTCAAGACACTGTCCTCAGGAGTATGAATTCCCTTCTGTATGTAGCCAGAATTCTCTTATCTCTGATCTGTTATAAAAATGAATCTTCACCAAAACAAGGACAACCCCAATATCTCCAGGGATACCCAGAGAATGTTCTTTGCTACAAAACTGAGTGATGAAGTTAGGTTATGCCTCAGTAGGAAGAGTGCACTGGTCAGTGTTCTGAACATTTCTTTAAAATCTCATCTGTGCGTTCAAGCATCAGATTTTAAACATCTTGAATATTGGGATTCTTTCAGTATGTCAGCCTGTCGCAGAGGAAGATAGAATTGTTATGACAGCCTCTTCTTATCCTTCAATTTTCTCCATGGTACTGACATTGCCTATTTGAGACCATATTCCACCATTTAACTCAGAGCATTTAGATCTGGAGTTATAAGGGAAACTTTAAATTGGGCAGAGTTAATGCATTTTCTATCCAAAAACAACACCACTCCTAGACAGTAATAATAATGTAATGCCCATTAGCAGCAGTTCAATTGCTCCAGCACTCATTAACATGTTGGCATAAGAAGCAGAGGAAAAAAAGAGAAAACTAAAAGAAATCAAAGCCAACCTCTAAAACCAGGGAAAGTTTTAAAACTTTTGAGTAAAAATAAGATCAGTTAAGAAAATATAAAAGCCACCTTTTCATTTAGACTATTTCCATACCTCTTTTATTGTAAATTATGTTTTCTACTAGACAATTAAAACTTTAGGTTTTAAGCTTTTCCTATGATTCAGTTTGGGTTAAATTTCAGAGAGAGCTTTAAAAGTTAATTTTTCCTGAGAATCAATATCCATTTGTCCCAGGAACATTTATGAAACATTATCCTTTTTTTCCCCACAGAAATGGCTTGACATCTTTGTTGAAAATCAGTTTTTCGTGTATGGGATGGAGGACAGTTCTATTTCTGGTATCTCTTTTTTGTTAAATTTGTCTGTTTATCTATCTTTTTGCCAATACCACACTCTCTTGGTTATGGTGGCTTTATAACAAATTATAATCAGGCTTCCTCCTATGTGTCCATTCCAGACACTTTGAATTTCTTCTTATATGTTAGACATATATTGTAAATTTATTTTTATTATATTATAGTCTATTATTAATAATATTTATTATAAAGGTGACAAGTTTCATGAATTTCACACATGCAATTCTAAAAGCATTCAAACTTCCCTCATTCCCTCTCTCCCACTTGCCCACCTCTTATTTTTCTTTTGACTTTTAAAATAACATATTTTAATTGACTATAATCATAAGCTTTTTCTCGCTTCGGCAGCACATATACTAAAATTGGAACGATACAGAGAAGATTAGCATGGCCCCTGTGCAAGGATAACATGCAAATAATCACAAGCTTAGCACTTTACTAAATAAAGAATTCAACAAGTAATAAGTAGGGAAAAAAACACTGTTTCTTAAGAGTATAAAGTAGGCCTTTAAACAATAATGAAATTTCAAAATGTCAATCTTACACAATTTCGCACTCTATATATTAGTTACCGCAAATCAGAGGAAACATTTGATATTTGTCTTTTTGAGACTGGCTTGTTCCTCTTAGCATAATGTTCCCTAATTGTATCCATTTTGCACAAAAGACAGGATGCCATCTTTGTAAGGCTGACAAGTATTCTATAATGTATATATGCCATGATATATTTACCCAATCATTTGTTAATGGAAATTGACTGATTCCATATTTTAGTTTTTGTGAGTTGATCGGCTACAAACATGAGGGTACAGATAACTTTCCTATGCTAATCTCGTCTCCTTTGGATACATTCTCAGGAATGGAATGACTGGGTCATATGATAGATTTATTTTTAGATCCCTCAGGAATGTCCTCATTGTTTTCCATAATGGATGTACTAGTTTACACTGCCATCAACAATGGGTTAGTGCATCTTTTTCCCAACATCCTCAGTAACATTTTCCCATTGATTTATTTGCATTATGCTTTATTTTGGGTCTATGTTTTCAAGTTCAGTGATCTTCTCAACTCCAATATCTGCTTAATCCCAATCAGTTCATTTATTCCTCTACAGATATTATAATTCTAGACATTTGATTTGTACTCTCTTTAATTTATTTGATGTAAATAACAGAATTATAGTAACAATGTTCATGTCCTTACTGCTAATTCTAACAGCTTTATTCCAGGATATTTCAAGTGACTTATTCTCTTTGTCATTGATTATAATTTCTTGTCCCTTTACATACCAAGCAATCCTTTATTAGATGGCCGACATTGAGAACTTCATCCTGAGTGCTGGATATTGCTATCCTTATAAATATTCTTGAGTTTTATCATAGGATATAGCTAACATTCTTTTTATACTCATCCTTCTGGATATTAATTTTTAACATGCGTTAGTTGAAAACAGATCCACTGTTCTGTCAAGAGTTAGTAACTCCCGCTGCTGGAACAAGGCTCCTCTGTGTGCTCTGAGCACTCCACTCAATGTCTCATGGATTAAGAGGTTTCAGTCTGTGTGGAAGGAACAGACATCATTCCTGCACTGTGCGTATCAAGAGCTCTTCTCTCCAGCTTTCTTGGTTGTTCTTGCTTGCCATTTGGGTCCTTTCTTCATTTGCATGTACTTACATAAACACTGAGGTTTGGAGGGGGCTCTGAAGTTCTGAGGTGCTCTTCTTGAACAGCTTTCTCTGGTGTGCCGTCTTGCAAAGTGCAGCTATCCTGGCCTATCATGACTCTCAGTTCCACCCTCTCACCCAGTGAGCTCACTGGGCTCCTCCCAGGGCCTCTTTTTCTGTATTACATTTTGATAACTCTGAAGTCAGTGAGCCAGAGCAATCATAGATGTTCCAAGTGAAGGAATCATGATTGGTTTCTGTTTTATTTTTGCTTTACTGTCTATTGTCTCTATTAGAGTTGTCTCACGTACTTTATCTGGTTTGGGTTGTTTGTTTTGGTTGCACAAGACAATAAAGCCATCTTGGCCAGAAGCAAATCACTTCTATGACTTGATCTGCATCTGCATATGAATATTCTAGAAGCTTATCTGCACCAGAACATTCACACTGTCTCTGGGTGGTGGGATTGTGACACTTCTATTGAACATGTGTATGTATGTGAGCATGTTCCTTCTATTTCTGTAACAAATGTATTGTGGTGTAATAAAAATCACAAGTATTTTTCTACACTGGTTCTACTCTAGGTATAGCAGGTTCATTCTGGGTGACAAATGGCCTTAGAATAGATCACAAAGTTTTTTGACCTTGTGATATGCTCCAGGGTGACAAAATAATGACTCACTTAGCAATGGGGGTTAGTTCAACATCAAGCTTCCCAGGGTGACAGGGAGTGTCATTTCATCAAAGCATTTATGTTATACACAGAATCCTAAAACATGGTGGGCTCAAAGTGTAGCCACTGACACCTTATAATATGAAGTAACAAAAGTTTAAAGGTCTATAATGAAAGATGGAGAATGAACTTCACTGGTACATATACACAGAAATATATCATTCACCACTCTTGAACCATTCTTTTACTATTAGCTCAAACAAGGGAAACAGAAAATTCTGACCAGAAACTGAAAAAGGAAAATTAATGATATAGTTCTTATCTTAAACTCTTAAGACATAATATCATTTATATTCTCTAATACAATGTCTTTATTTTAGTATAAAATAGGTTATAAATTAATATCTGCAAGGGTTTTCAAAGATTTCTAAAGATCTTGATTACCATCTCTTACAAAACCGAATTTTAAGTTCTTCATCAGTAAACTCATCTATCACAGTGGAGAAAGGAGTCTATTTCTCCCATGATAAGACACCATTTTTTTCCTAACATTGATTAAAAGAAAACTCAGCTTCCATTAATATAACCAACTGAATAACCAAATCATTTCTTTAAAAATTCATCAGAAAAAATGAAGTCCATTCAGACCTGTTAGATCCACAATAGAAGAGCACTCATCTAATATCACCCTCTCTCTTTTTTTTTTAAAGGTTCATTTATTTGAAAGACAGAATTACAGAGAGAAGAGAGAGAAATGGCAGGGATAAGATGCAGAGAGACAGATTTCCTTCTGCTAGATCACTCCCTAAGTTCCTGCAACATCTCATGCTGATGTGAGTGAAAGCCAGGAGCCTCTTCCAGGTCTTCCATGTAGCTACAGGAGTCCAAGCCCTTGAGCCATCTTCCACTGCTTTCCCCAGGCACAGCAGCACAGCGCTGGATCAGAAGTGGATTAGCCAGGACATACACTACTGCCCATGCGAGATGCTGGCTTTGCAGGCAGTGCCTTAACATAGTAAAATAGTAGCATTACACTACGATACCAGCCCCTTAATATCCTTCTGTTGAGACGACTTAACAGCACCCTCTATGAAGAGCTGATCAACAGAATCTGGATTTCCACTAACACAAAGGAAAGATTCGTTCTTCCATGCCTGAAGAGTGCTGAGGGAGCAGGTCGAAAAGAGTGCTAAGCGGAGCTCTGCATTTACTGGAAGTAATACTACTCATTGGTACATACCATCTTCCTCAGCTCCTGGTTGGAAACAATAATGACATTGGGTGGGTCCCCAATGGCAGTGGCAGCTCCTCCAATGTTTGTGAAGATCACTTCCGCAATTAGCACTTGTCTTGGATCAAGGTTGAGTACCTCACATAATCTGCCACAAACAGAGCAAAATGAATGTAGTACAACCTTTAGCATCGTGAAAGGCCCAAATGCATCCTAAAGGCTTTCAAAGCACTTATCTATACACAGGAGATACACACCTGTACACATGCACGCACACACACACACACACGCACACACACACAGACACCTGTAGAAGCACAACGCTAATGGCATGAACACTTTCAGGCTGTACCAACTCTGAGAATCACATTTCTTCTGAAAGGAAACCCAAAACCCTCTGAACAATCGGTGTCATAATGTGCTCCTCCCCAAACCATTCAGGTCAAGAAGGAGCAACATCTCCTTGTGCAGATCCCCTGGCACAGCAAACAGGTGCTCACCACCAGATGCCTTCTAGTTGAGCAGAGAGAGGCAGTGCAAAAAACACCAGGGCACACATCAAGACTGCTCACATCAACACATGTACAAACTCCTGAGCTGGCCCAGGTACACGATTATTGAGAAGAACAAGAACCTGACAGTCTGGGGCAGAGGTTCTTCTCTGTGCACCCCCTCCCCCAGTGTCTGGTAAGTCTTGCAATGGTAACAGTGCCCCACAGGCACACAAAACCTATGCTGTCTGGATTGGAATGAAGTGCACTGTTTGGCAGTGAAGAGTAAGGCACCGTCGCTGCCTTATTGCCTTTTCCAGGATGTGAGAACAGAGCCAGTTCATGCGACCAGAACTCACAGCTGCCCTGAGACCAGTTGTAAGACCACAGGAGATGTGCTCTGCCAACCTTATGGTCACCGGAGTGAAGAGGAGCATCGTAGTGACATTGTCTAAGAAGGCAGAAAGGACGGCAGCAATGAGGCACAGCATGATGATCATGGTCCACACTCTTCCTCGGGACAGGCGGTAGGCCTGGGACACACACGTGAAGGAACAAGGCAGAATCAGCAGGTTCACCGTGATTATGGAACAGAGATCCGAAGCAACATTGCATGGGGGATTAAAAGCGACACCCGCAGAATCCTATCTATGCCTGCTGAGACAGTGCTGGTCTTACTAAGCACCACAGTTCAATGCATTCTAACTCCATCTGGGGCTGCATTGTCTCCTCTCTGATTCTTCACAATGCTTCTTGACAGCGATTGTGTCACCAAGTGGTGAGCCCCAATCCCATCACTGCCATCTAGTATTTCATTTAGACTGCGTCATTTGGAATCCATGTGGCCCTAATGGCTGCTTACCTTTAGCAGACCTATGTGTTGGGAGAAATAATCTACCTGGAATGTGCACTTTAGTGATCAAGAATGGCAACCGAAATTACAACATCTAATTCCAAGTTTGCAAAGGACTTTGTTAGGTAAAATTATTTTAATTAAATTTAACTAAATTTTGGTTTTAAAAAAGTATCAAGAATAGAATTAGTATTTGGCCAAGCTCTGGAGGCAGAAACTTGTTCATGTAGTTCCTGAAGCAGCCAGGAAAAAAAATTAAACAACAATGAGCTACCAGCTCACATTTGTTAAAATGACACTTTCCAAAACATGAAAGAGGGCTCATCACAATAGCCTAGTGGCTAAATCCTCTCCTTGCAACCACCAGGATCCCATATGGGTGCCAGTTCTGATCCCGGCTGCTCCACTTCCATCCAGCACCCTGCTTGTGGCCTGGAACAGCAGTCGAGGACGGCCCAAAGCTTTGGGACCCTGCACCTGAGCAGGAGACCTGGAAGAAGCTCAGGCTCCTGGCTTTAGATTGGCTCAGATCTGGCTGTTGAGGCGACTTGGGGAGTGAGCTAGTGGACAGATGATCTCTGTATCTCCAATGTAAATTGCCTTCCCAATAAAAATAAATAAATCTTAAAAAAGAAAAAGGAAATGAAAGATAACATGTATCGGCACCAGATAGAGCAAAGGGAACCCACACTATTGGTAGGAACGCAAGTTGGTATCAACATATGGAAAACAATATAGCACTTCCTTTTTAAAAAAATTACTAAAAATAGAACTATATAAATCAGCAATCCCATATCTCAGTATACATCCAAAGGAAATCAAATTGACATAACAAAAAAGGAAAAATTCATATTCCCAGGTTCATTGCAGCAGTATTCACAATAGTTGAGACATGGAGGCAGCCTTAGTATCCATCAGTAAACACACAGATAAGAAAAGATAGTATACCTGCATGATGGAATACTACTTGGCTCTAAAACAGTGGAAAATTCTTTCGTCTGCCACATGATACATGAAGCTGGAGGACATCATATGAAGTGAAATAAACCAAGCACAGAAAAGCACATGTTGCATGTTCTCATTTACTTGCAGGAGTTTAAGAAGTCAATCTCATGGCATTAGAGTATATCGGCAGCCACCAGGGTGGCTGGATAGCAGGGGAGCAGGGTAAGGAGGGAGTCGATGAGATATTAGTCAAAGGGTGTTAAGTTTCAAATGCATGACTAGGTTTAAAAAGTTTGGGGAAATGTGTATTATGAAAAATCTATGTGTGGATTTCAAAAATGTTAACGATAAGATAAGCTTATCTTTTAATTTCATGTACTACAGAATTTTGAAGACATTTTTTGTAGATTTAATATGGTTCATTATATATTTCAAAATCACTAAAAGTACATTCCAAATGCCTCACCATAAAAATGAGAGGCAAAAAAAATGAGGCAAATAAATGATGCATTTGTAAGTTAGCTTGATTAGTCGTACTATATTATATGCACATGAGGATGCTTCTAAAAGCACATGGAAAATCTAGCTTATCATTTAATTCAATCTTTGAAGCCCCTTTAAGTGTGTGTCTGTTCATATTTATATGCACATTTATATGTCTATATATAAACATTTTAAGACTCAAAGCATTTGTAAAATAAGCATGTTTTTCTCTAACATAAAAATACGTGTGTATCCAATATTTAGAAACTAATCATTAAAATTATTTCACCAAAAGGCAAAATCATCAGAAGCTAACGCCTTGAAATATTTACATACACTAATATGCAAAACAATTTTTGATATGTAGCTCTCACTAGCCAATTTAAATAACATCACACAAATATTCAATCTGACTACTCTTTTCCTAGTATCTTTTTTCGTTTATTTATGGGGGAGCAGAAAGCATTGCTCTGAACTTTACAACTTAGCATAGCAACCATACTGGCATGGCAGACACAATTCTTAAAAACAAGATTTTAACCTTAAAGACATTTCTCTAAATAGCTTAATTCATTACATTTATAATGTCAGAAAAGCAGATACAGTAATTAATTAGTGCATAACAATTAAATACAATTTCATACTTACTTTTACAGCACAATAATCAAAAAATCCAGTCTCTGAAAATATAGCTACTAGGATCATCTATGGAGAGAGAGAGAAAAAAGACCAGGACTGTTTTATAGCAGAGACCAAATTGAAACAACACAGGGGGATCAGTCACAAACTTGAGCCTGCCCTCCGCAAGCTCCTCACTCTTGCTGAAAAACCACCACTGCTTCATGTAAACCACCTACTAATTCCCTGAGTGGAGGTTCCTGCTAATGGTTTTATACTTCGAATTTTGTCCAGAAATGTGTCCTCAAGATCCATTCTCATCAAATCTAATCCTCATGCCAAGCACCAGGAATTATTACTCTCTGATTATTGATCAGGAAAAATAGCATCGGAGAGATGAAGCAGCTTGCTCCCTGTCACAGTTAGAAGCCGGACGGGAAATGGGCTAGCATGAGGCCTTCCGCACGGAGCTTCACAAGCTCCGTTTTAATGTTCTAAGGGTTTAAAACTAAGGAGAGTTTTATTGTGAAAATAAACTGAGTCTTGTTATCAGTTGGCGAACTTATGAAAATAAGAATAATTCTGTGAAAGAATCTCTGGGTTCCCTCTGAACACAGAAGACCTATGTACATTTCTTTCTACTATTGACAATCAGCCGGTGAAAACCACCACCAGAGATACTAATCAAAATTAATGTATTATTCATTCTGAATTTAATCAACCAGGCATTTCAACTAGCATGATTTTCCTGAAAGGTTCTCTTTTCACCTCCTAAAATTGCAGTTGTCATATGCTAAACTTGGAATAATAAAACACAGGTTCAAATCCTGCTGTTGCCACTTAGGAAGAGCTCATCCCTAAGCAATAATAATAATACTTAACCCTTCTTAACTTTCCTCATTTCTGAATGTTCTGCACCTGGTAAAGTTGTTATGAAAATTCACCAAAATTCTATAAATCAAAGTAAATGGTAAAAAAGAAACCTGTTACTATCTTTTCAATAAACTATATAAAACTTCCTGAATTTAAGATTTGATTCAGTACAAATATCTTCCATTTCTGGAGTAAACACCAGTGATAATCCTGACCAAAAAAAAAAAGCCACTGTGGTACCACGTGCAGAATATGTTACTACACACACACACCAGTGGAAGGTTCATAAGAGCACAAACAAGTGGGGTCCGGCGCAGTGGCCTAACGGCTGAAGTCCTCGCCTTGAACACCCCGGGATCCCCTATGGGCACTTGTTCTAATCCCGGCAGCTCCACTTCCCATCCAGCTCCCTGCTTGTGGCCTGGGAAAGCAGTCGAGGATGGCCCAAAGCTTTGGGACCCTGTACCCGTGTGGGATACCTGGAAGAAGTTCCTTGTTTCCAGCTTCGGATCGGCGCAGTATCGGCCGTAGTGGTCACTTGGGGAGTGAATCATAGGAGGGAAGATCTTTCTCTCTGTCTCTCATCCTCTCTGTATATCTGACTTTGTAATAAAAACACATAAATCTTTAAAGCCTGGGATTCAGGAACTCAGGGAACAGGGTAACACAACCCATGGATGACTGACTGCTAAGAAAGAGGCAGGAAAGGCAGGGACTTGGTTAGAAAGGCTTTCTTTGCACTCTTGAAATTCCAGAATCTTAGAAACCACACATTCTTACTAAAACCGACATGAAGTGAGGAAAAACACACACACACACACACACACACACAATGTTCGTGGGCTGAATTAAGACCCACAACCCCCCAAACTCATGTTAAATTCCTAATCCCCAAGTCTCCAGAATGTGTACAGTTCTTTTCAGATACATAATTAAGAGACAAGCCTTTTCGGGAGGTAATTACATTAAACTGAAGTTCTACATTTCCTCTGTCTATCCCAATAACACTGGTGTCTTTTTAAGAAGAGATTAGGGCTCCAACACAGAGAGTGGGAAGATCACTTGAAGACACAGGGCGAAGACGCTGTCTATACAGCCATGAGAGGCCTCAGGGAACACCAAGCCTGTTCCCACCTGGACCTTGAACTTGAAGCCTTCAGAAGTATAAGAAGAGCATTCCTCTCAGCTTAACCCACACAGACCGAGGTGCCTGCTACAGCAGCCTGACCAAGCTAATACAACATGGTTTTAATTTTATTTCTTATACATACTTATAGACATGATTCCTTTCCTCCATCCAGATGCTCAAACCTTGTATGTTTCTATGGACACGACACAGGTCACTTCCTGTGTTAATCCCGGGGTCAGCGCATTGGCTGGCTCCACATGTGCCACCCACCCACAAAGGGTGCAGCATGATTTTGAGTCACATTAAAGACTATGGCAGCAGGAGGAAATGCTGACAAAGGGAAATCATGATATCTATAATGACCTGACTATATAGTGTGGTGTTTTCCAACCCAGAAAGGATGAGACCTGCTTGACCAATTTTGAGGTCTATTCGAGAAGGCATAAGCCACTCCACTGCTGTCCAGGCTCTTACCAAATTACATTTATTCCCACTAAGTTGGTTTATGACTCCTATACCAACTCATTTGCACATTCAAATTTTTTTCCCAACAACTGAACTTGCTGACATGCCTCACAGCACACAGCACAGAATGGCCACTTCACACAATGACAAATTTAAAAACACCTGAACTACTACTCAAAGATTATTGCTTCCTTTATGCATATAAAGGTATTTTTCCAATTACTGAAAATCGTAATGGCTCATTTGTTTGGCACATTCCATTGTTTTATTTTAATAGAAGTAACAAAAAATAATACACAACTTTGCCAAGTAGTAATATTATTTTCATGGCCACATCTTAGAATGAAATTCTTCCTCCAGATAAACAGGGCTCAAATCATTCTATTCCTCCTCAAGAGGAATTAGGTAGAACTGTGCTGACACTTTCCAATCAAGCCCTAATTGTCAGAATCTTTTATGTAACGATGGTTATCAGGAACAGTGGCAAATGAGAAGAACCATGTTAAAGTGGGCTCAGCACCATAGCGCTCTGGAAGGACTGTAATTACCATGCCAAACAGCAGGGCCAGGGTCTCAAAATCAATCCACTCCACCACCTGGGTCAGGCTTGGTCTCTGTAATCAAAGCACAAATTTGCCAATTAATCCTGTGCATCACCCTCGTGGGGATAAGCTCTAAAAATATGGTCCTTTGCAAACCCATTCATTCATTGCATTCACTGCAAACATATCATTCACTTCTCTTTGGAATTGAACCATATCAATGCTGGAAAATACTCATGACCCAATGCATCTGCTATGTCAAATCTATGTATTTAGTAAAAAAAAAAAAAAAAAAGGAGGAGTTCGGTCCTCGGGCTTGGGGGCAACTGACGCTCCCTGCAGTGTGGCGACTGTGGGGGGTGCCCCTGCCGGGTCGGACCCAATGCGGGGGACTCACGCCAAAGACACTGCCACAAGGCAGTGAACGAGTCCTCGGCCTCCCCCAGGACCCAAGAGAGCTCTTCCCTCAGGGTAAGTCCGCCATGAGGGAACTTGGGAACTGGGTGGAAAGTCCTAGCTCCGCCCAGCTGCTAAGACCATGCGGCTGGGGGAGTTTGGGAGGAGTTCGGTCCTCGGGCTTGGGGGCAACTGACGCTCCCTGCAGTGTGGCGACTGTGGGGGGTGCCCCTGCCGGGTCGGACCCAATGCGGGAGACTCACGCCAAAGACACTGCCACAAGGCAGTGAACGATTCCTTGGCCTCCCCCAGGGCGGCCAGTGCACCAAGTGGTGCCAGGCTTTGTCTGCTGGCCGCCCGGAAGGGCAAACTCTGGGGTTTTCAAGATATGTAATTGCTGCCTGGGTCACTCATGACTAAGACTAGGTTGAGTGTAGGTGCAAAGTGAATTTTCGGGTATTCTCAGTGACAGTGTCATGAAAGATACAAGCAGGCAAGGGGACCAAGACCTAGTGGTTTGGGGGAAGTGTCCAGAAGATAATTTTAGTAAGACAGATGCAACAGCTCAATTATGAATACGGAGATGGGATATTAGTATAGAACATCACTGATCACCATATACTAGCCCACACCGAAGCTATGGATGGGGGCCTCTTTGGCAGTGTAGGGTACCATTGCCCGACTGAGTGTTGGAGTTGTGGAGTGGTCACATTTGGCAAATCAAGACACTCTCCAGCACACAAGAGAACTTGGGCTGGGGGTAGGCTCTGTGGGGTTGTGTGGGCCCAACCCTTTGGAATACAAATCCCCCGGGTTAGTTCCCAAGCTGGGGTTGCAATGGTCTAAGCTAGGTGTGACCACGACATCTGCCATCACTCATGGGTAAAGGAATCCACAACAGTCAGGGTAGGTCAAGGCAGCAGCACCCAAATGTGCATCTTTAAACAGGATGTGGGGTGGGCCGGGCTGCCACTGGAAGGGGACAGAAGGGGCAAGGCTGAACAAACCTTAACTCACAAGTAACAACAGAAATCAGGTTGGAGCACAGCTCATGCCAGGTAGGTCCTTGCACATACTGATCTGTGTGAGGCAGAGGCACTAAGCCACAGCATCCAAGGGGCCACGACAAGTGAGGGGCTCTGCCAAACAGAGACAGAACAACCACCGGCCTACACCTGCTCTATGGCAGGGCAGAGGCCCGGTTGGGGAAATAACAGGACACCCTAGCTGGGTTGAGTTTCCCACCAAGGAGCGCATGGGCTGGAACTGAGGCTACATTCTGATCAGGATACGATCGTAATCTCACTTGGCACAATTGTGGACTGGGATGGGAAGCACCAAGCCAGGCCAAATTCCAACACCATCTGGTGCTCTGGAGGACCGGGGAGGGTTGTGTGACAGACTAGGTTAGGTCTCAGCCCTTACTGAACCATGTGTGAGCTTGGTAGGGGTATGGAAGAGCCATGGCTGGGTTGAAATATCCAACAACAAGAACCAGCTTGGGTCGGAGGCCAGGCAGGAAAAGCCACTGTTCCTCCTAGGATAGCAGGCGAACTGAGTAGTGCTGGCTCATGGACCCACTGGTATGCGCGAAAACTGGCATTGGGACAGGTTCTGGTGGAGGAGCCCGGGCAACTCCTCTGGCAGGACACAGTCCCATGCAGGTAAGCGCAACAAGCACAATAGGGAACAACCCAAAACAGGCAATGAAAATTATCCCACTGGCATACACATGGCATGGGTTGGGGGCAGACCAGCCTGAATCTGTTCACATTACCTTCTGGTGAATCCGAGCACCAGAACAGAGTGTGGGTCGAGCCAGGTTCGGTTGCAACACATACCAGTACACAACAAGTAATGCCAAGGTGAGATGAGCCGTACCAGATGTGGCTGCAGCACACAACCAGCACATGTGACAATCAGGGAGGAGGCAAAGCCAACAGGGGAACGTGGGCACCCCTGCTGGATAACTACTTCCATTGGAAAGTGTGAATACGGATGGGGGCAGTTCAGACTAGGCAGGGCTATAGCACCTGTGGGCCTCACGGTGAGCTGACTGTTCTGACTGGTGCAAGTTAAAATTAGAGTGGGTTGAGGGGTGTTTGGGCTTAGCCACAGCATTAGCTGGCAGAGGCTGGTACTAGGAGCCAATTCTGACAAGTCAAATGCCAAAACTACCTGGAGACTGCATACTCTAGGAGTGGGTGTGGCCTAGTAGGGAAATAGTGGGCACCTCCCTCAGGGTTACCACCCTCACTGGACAGCAGGAAACCCAGGCTAGGAGCAGGGGTGGCTTGACAGAAAGGCACCTGCCAGTGGGTGTATGGGCTGGATAATAGGTTGGTTGGGTTGAACCAGGCTTCAATGTCCATTGACGTGTGCGAGAGCTACTTGGGATGTGGGACAGACTGGACAAGCCTGCAGTGCATACTGGCAAGCATGGGAACCAGGGTAGGGGGCAGAACTGGTAGGGGTTTTGGGGAGTCGCCTCAACTAGGCTGCAGCTCCAACTGGTTTGCATGAAGACCGAGTATGAAGTGGGTAGAATCGAGCTGGACTACAACACCCATTGGTTCACAAGGAAGACAGGGCTGGAAGCCGAACGGACCCAGTAATCGCAACGACCAGCATATGCATAAGCTGATTGGTGTGACGAACAGTGTTGGAGTCTGTACTAGCAAACTCACTCAAGAATCAGATCTGGGATCAACTCAGATGAAGTTTCTTTGGATATTTCTCCAACTGAACTGCTGATCTTGGAACCCCAACCATCAAGAGACTGTCAGCCAGTGGACTCTGAATAGGTTTCATTACGGTTGGGACGGAGAGATTGGCAGCAATCCAGAACCGATGAACTATCAAAACTGTATGAGCAGGACCCTTGGAGCACGCCTCATGTTGGGGATGGGGGATGGGTGGGAGGTAGGGTGGGGCTTTCCCCTTTGTTACTCCCCTAACCCTACATACAGGGCAAAATGATTATATTAGTGTGGAAACAATGATATTACCCACTTTCACCCTGTAGCCCGTGACCCTTTGTACCCTAATAAACTAAGATTATTTAAAAAAAAAAAAAAAAAAAAAACAAATACACCAAAAAAAAAAAAAAAAAAATTCAATTCTTTCCCTTGGTAACTCCAGGTAGAATTGTAGCATGAATTACAAGATTGGCCCTTAAGCTTATCATCTTAATGGACATATGTCTTCTGTGGTATGGCGATAAGGCCAGATGTCAACTTGGACAACCACCTGTCCTAATCTCCATGTGCCCACTCACCCCCACCCCTTGGGAAACAAGAATAAGGAGCAGAGTGTTGAGTGATGGCATAGTCACAGTGCAGCTTTCAGGACGGGGCAGCAAGGTGGATGACTGTGCGTTTTCTGCAGCAGGTGCCCTACCATCTTATTTATACACACTACTTATTTATTGCAGCATTCCTTGATTATTAATAAAAGCAACAGTGGTTTTATATGTATGCATTAGGGTTCTGGGGTACTTTACCTTCAGGGTTAGCATTTGTTTATTCCAACTCTAGTCAAGAAAATGTTCAAGCTACTGCTACTTGAAGCCTGGACCTATATTCAAAGTATAAATTCAAAAGTAATAACTAACTCAACTTCCACCACATGATTTTTTTAATTTGCTCTTATTCTTTGGTTGAATGGTCTCAAGTTTAAATGTTCAGAACAGCCACTGAATTCCAGAGACTTGTTTTCAAATCCCAGTCAGTGGGCTGCCAACCTTGGGTGGGCTTGGTTTGATTCCAACACTGCCCATCAAACAACTCTGGGCCTTTATCTGCAGTGGACACCAAGCCTTTCTTGCTTCCCTATATTTATCCCCTATATTCCTCCCAAATGGGTCACTTCCAGACTCTAACACTACATTATCCTTCCACATTTACATCTCCAGTGGCCTCAAACACCGTCTTCCACTTCCCTGCTCTAGTTAGGCTAGTTTCTTTCGTATTCCAAAAGCTGACAATACCAATATCTAGTTCTCATGCCAAAAAGTTACACAGCTTTAAGCAAATGAATAGGCATAATGAGCCTTTCAGCCAAAATAGGGAAAAACAGTACTAAGATATATATGTGAGAATGATAGAAATCAAATGCAAATCATTCATAAACACCTCTAGGTCATACCTCTAGCACAATTCTTTTGTAAAATTGCCCAAGTCACCCATGACTTAATAAAAAAATTCACCTAAAACCTAGAATATCCTTAAACAAGACATTCTGGTAAGAGTAAGTTAATAATTCTCAATGTTTCAACTTACATCACCAATCACAGCCAGCGCTGCCAATGCTGCAAGGGAACCCAACATGGCTGCCAAAGTTCTGTGAACAATCTGGAAAGGAACATAGAAATTACTGCATTCCAGTGAAACAAGGATTTAACACACAGAAATCTTGTACAGGGGCCAGTGTTGCAGCACTAAAAGTTAAGCTCTGCCTGCAATGCCATCCATATGTGCACCAGTTTAAGTCCCAGTAATTCCACCTCTGATCCAGCTCCCCACTAATGCACCTGGGAAAACAGCAAAAGATGGCCCAAGACTTGGATTCTGCTACTCACATTGCAGACCCATATAGTTCCAGGTTTCTGGCTTGATCTGGCCCAGCTCTGGTCATTGTGGACACTTGAAGAATGAACCAACAAATGGATGATGATGATGATGTGTGTGTGTGTGTGTGTAACTCTGCCTTTCAAATAAATAAATAAAACTTTTAAAAAAAAAAATCTTCTGTTGGGCCCGGCGCGGTGGCACAAGTGGTTAGAGGTCCTCGCCTTGCACGCCCGGGATCCCATATGGGCGCCGGTTCTAATCCCGGCAGCCCCGCTTCCCTTCCAGCTCCCTGCCTGTGGCCTGGGAGAGCAGTCGAGGACGGCCCAGGGCTTTGGGAGCCTGCACCCGCGTGGGAGACCCAGAGGAGGCTCCTGGCTTCGGATTGGCATAGTATCGGCCCGTTGCAGCTCACTTGGGGGGTGAATCATCGGACGGAGGATCTTCCTCTCTGTCTCTCCTCTCTGTATATCTGCCTTTCCAATAAAAAAATAATAAAAATAAATCTTTAAAAAAAAAAAATCTTCTGTTGACATGCCTATCAGTCTGTATCTGTCATTGTATAATCCATCCAACAGCCAAGCATGTCATAAGTCTTAATGTTCCAGGGACTGGAAATCCCACCAACTAACACAACCAACAACAACAGGCCTTCCAAAGAAAGCTATTTTTATTTCCTGAATAATTATACATCTCTGACAAACCAGCAGAAGACTAAAAAACCATGTTCTACAAGAAATCCTGCAGTAAACTGTCATTAATTATTTACCATATCACTCCCTAGGCAACTGGACTTAACTTCAACATAGTAAATCAATTCTTCCCAATTAGAGACTGTTATTAAACCAAAGGTATGCATGCAAACACTTCATCTAATTGAGACTTCAATATTATCAGTGAGTCATGAAAACATCTTTTCTATTTAATCATAGTTCAAATGGATGTGGAATTTCTAAGACAAAAGATGAAGAAAGCCAAAGCTGTGGAGTAAAGAGACCTCATACATTGCTAGTGAGATGGTCAAATAGTGTAGCCAGTGTAAAAAGCAGTTTGGAACTTTCTTTAAAATAAGACAAAAATTTATAATATGACCCATAAGTTCTTCTAGCAATGTAGCCAATGAAATGAAAACATTGCATGAATATTCATACAAACATTACTCAAAATATGTGAAACTGGAAACATTCCAAATGTCTTGTCAGGGTGAATGAACAACTAAATGTAAGGTATGCTACACAATGTGACATATAAACAAGAAACATCTGTGCTCAATAAGAGAGCTCAGGCAAAAACAACTGTAAATTGCATTGTCCTTGCTATATGAACTCTGCAGAAAAGGTAAATCAAGGGAAACATGAAAATTAGGATCATCAAAGGCTTAGAATGGCAACAAGAACTAAGAATAGGTCCTTGGACACGTATGGAGTAAACCGAATGTTCTCAAAATGAACTGGGGTAATGGCTGCAAAATTTAAACTCAATAGAAATTATTTAATTGCATACTTTCAAAGAAATTATGGTATGTAATTTATACTTTAATAAGTCTATTAAAACATACAAAAAGAACGTCATGAGACTGAGCAGAAAATTAAATACTAGCCCATATTATCCATTTGGTAAAGCCATTAAGTGGTTTTCATTCAATCAATTTATGCCTTTCCCCAGAACCTGACTCTCTAGACTAGTAATTACTTGAAACTTTACTTTAGACTAATATCATTTCAATTTATCATTTTTACTGCTGGATTCAAAGTTAGTTTTTAAGTAATTTTATAACAATTTTTACATTAAATACTTTAGAGTTGATGCATTTTCTTCAAATAGAGATGCCTAAAATCCAATAAATTATTATCAAACTTTAATCATTCCTTCCATTTGTGTTCCGGTTCCCAGTTTGAAACACCTCAACACTTCCTGATTCGAGGCTTTAGTTATGCCTAGAAGGTAAATAGAACAATAATTTGCTCCCAACTTTACAACTTTGGCAAACTATGCTGGCATTAAGCCATAGACTGAACTGGGAGTCAAAGTCAGATTTTCTCTCACAATACCTAGCACTCCAAATTTCCCCATCCAAGTCACATAGCTCCCTTCTCCTACCCACCACATAGTTCAAACTCTAGTCCTGCCACATCTCAAACCTGCCCTCATTCAGGAAGTTATAGCTGTTGGCACTATCTTCCCGGACCACACGGGCATCTTCTCCAGCTTTAATGAACAACCCAACACAACCCACCACTCCAGCTCATAGGAACATGGTAATTTTGCAAAAGTTACAAGCTGGCAACCCCAAACTGTAGTAGCCTCTAACTCCAATAAATGGTCTAGATTGCTTCCCTGCCATGAGCTTTTGGGATGCAGGTGGAACCACACACCTGCCATGGACATAAGCCCCACTGTGAGGACCCTGGCCATCACCACCAAGATCCACATGCCCTGCTAGAACCAAAAGGTACTCCTTTTGCCATTCCAAACAATGGAACAAGTTGTGGAGCAGACTTCTGCAATGCCCAAGTGGAAACGTCAAGTCAAATGGCCTACCAAGTCAACAATGGAAGACACATCTTCAGGAAAAAGCATCCAGTATATGAAAACCACCCTTTCAAAAGGATCAAACAGACCGATCTCTTTGATACAAACATAAACATAGCAAAAAAGCAGTATGAAAAACAAGGGAAATAAGCTCCAAAATAAATCTACCAACATTTTAGATCAGATTCTACAGAATGCGAAATGATGACAAGTTGGATAGACAATTCAAAGGAATGAGTACAAGGACGCTCAAAGAGACCCAAGAGAACGCATATATATAATTAAACAGAAGCCAATACACAATATGAATGAGAAGCAGCAAAGCAGCAGAGATCTTTAAAAGAATCAAACATAAATAGCAGACGAAGAACTCAGTAAAAGAAGGGGGAGGAGGAGGGGAGAAGAGGAAAAGGAAGGGAAGGGAGGGGAAGGGAAGGGAGGGGAAGGGAAGGGAAGGGAAGGGAAGGGAAGGGAATGAAAGGGAAGGGAAGGGAAGGGAAGGGAAGGGAAGGGAAGGGAAGGGAAGGGAAGGGAAGGGAAGGGAAGGGAAAGGAAAGGAGAAAAAAAAGGAAACTACAAACCAAGCACCCTGATGAACATAGATAGAAAAATTCCAACAAACTGAACATCAGGATCAACTAAAATTATTCCCAAGGATAAAAGAATAGTTCAATACTCTAAAATCATTGAATGTTATTCATCACATCAACAGAATGAACAAAAACCAAATGATTTTCTCAGGTCTTTCACACCTTTGATTAAATTATTCAAAGATATTTTTGTTGGTGGTGTGAAGAAGATTGTAATTGCTTCCCTGGTGAGTTCATTATTGATATGTAAAAATGAAACTGATTTTCATGTGTTGGTTTTGTACCATGTACTTTATTTGACTTCACTTATCAAATCTAATAGTGTCCTGATGGAGACAGACGATCATATCAACAAAGGCAAAAAAATTTTTCAATAAAATTCAGCATCATCTCATGACTTTGGCCATTGTAAAAAAAATTTTTTTAATAAATAAGGGGCCTGGCACAATAACCTAGTGGCTAAATCCTTGCCTTGCATTCGCCAGGACACCATATGGGTGCTGGTTCATGTCCCAGCTGCTCCACTTCCCATCCAGCTCCTTGCTTGTGGCCTGGGAAAGCAGTAGAGGATGGCCCAAAGCCTTGGGACCTTGCACCTGCATGGGAGACCTGGAAGAAGCTCCTGGTTCCCGGCTTTGGCTCGGTTCAGCTCCAGATGTTGTGGCCACTTAGGGAGTGAACCAGCAGACAAAGGATCTTTCTCTCTGTTTCTGCTTCTCCCTGCAAATCTTTCTTTCCAATAAATAGATCCTCAAAAAATAAGAAATAAGGAAGGAGGAGGTGGGCAGGGAACACAGGCAGGAGGAAGGGAGAGGTGGGAAGTATCACTACGCTCCTAAGTATTTGTAAACTACATGAAATTGGTTCACCTGATATAAATAAGTTAAAGTATAAAAGGTATTGAAGAATTAAGTAAATAAGGAACAATCCTCAATAGTTTTAAAAGGCAATATATTAAAAACCCCACAGCCAACATTGTCAGAATAGAAAAAAATGTGGAGGCATTTCTTCTGAGACCTGGAACTGGTTCTTATTCAACACAGCACTAGAACTTTCAGCCAGAGTAATTAAGCAAGAGAAGAAATAAAAAGCCATACAAAAAGTACAGGAAAACATAGGATTAGTCCTGTTTACAGGTGACATGCAGAAAAATAAAGGCTCCACAAAAACACTATTAGATTTTATAACTGAAATCAGATGAAATTACATGCTACAAATAAATATCTATTTATTTATTGCAAAAATCTATTGTATTTTTACACATTAATACTGTGTTCATTGGAAAGGAAATTGCAAGTAGTCCTCTTCATAATAGCAATACAACGACAGCAAAAATAATATTAGACTAATTTAATCAAAGAGGTGAAAGGCCTCAGAAGGCCTCCCATACTCATGTATTGAAAAAGTTAAAACTAAAAGATCGATACTATCCAAAGAGATTTATAGATCAACACAATCCCCATCACGAACTACAGAGAAAAAAAAGTCCTGAAATTCATATGGAGGTACAAAAATCCCCTGAAAGCCAAAGCAATCTTTATCCAAAGGAACAATGCTGGAGGAATCATAACACATTTCAAGATATACAACAGAGCTATTATAACCAAAACAGCCCAGTATTGGCATAAAAACAGACACAGATCAAACAGAACAGACTCCAGA